TATGCTGAAATGGCTTCATATTAGAAAGCTATCTGTGGCCAAAGGTGTTGAGAATGCACAAGTTCTGGCTGAGGGTAAAAGTCAGGACGTTGACTTAGACCTTGTGACATCTAGGTACAATATTATGCTTTGCCTTAAAAAGTGGTTGCAAGATAGCTACTGGATTTTCCCAGTCTTCTCCCAAGGATTTTCTAACCATTTTTAATCTCTGCTTTGATGGGTAGAATAGGTTACTTTAGGCATTTTGGTGGGTTTCTTTTCCCTTTTATTTTCTACTCTAAAAAAAAAGCGGAATATAAAAAAGAGGAGACTGCTGCCATATTCCTGTGTTGGGCTAAGTGTAATACAGTGATAATTTGCTTTCATTTCTTAAAAACAACAACAACAACAACAACAAAAAATTCAAGAAATGGGAGTTAAAAAATGTTGCAAAAACAACAGAAGTTGTCTCAGGAACGATTGTAATGAAGTAGAGAAACACTGAAATGAAGGCCTGCATAATTTACTGTTTAAGATACAATATTAAGTTTAATATTGTGTGCTATCTTCGTTTTGTTAGTTTTTTTCTCTGAATAATGCTGCAAAGGATATATTAGGATTACTGCCTTAGGAGTTCTTTTATGTGTCTTGCTTTATGTTTTCTGTTACTCAATACAGGTACAAGATATCTAAATAATTTATAAAGCTTAGAAGTTGTTTGATATGGCACAAAGAAAAAGTTGATTTGTCCTTAAATCCCCTACTGAGGTAGTAGTTATAAAAGTCTCTATATAAAAATGCTTGAGTGACAGCATACTTGTATGATATAAGCAAATGCTTTGAATACTGATTTCCATATTCAAAGTATAGTGTCATATTGCTGTTTCTTCTTGCAAAGATTTAGAATTAAGTTTTATGGAGACCTCATAAAATTTCTTTTCTTTTCACAGTTCTGTTAGAGGAAGAAATTATCAAGACATCTGGACCAGTATGAAAGAGGATTTTGTAATTAGCTTTAAAAACTAGGCTAAGCAGCTAGCTTCCTGTGAACAAGAGGTTATTTGGTTTTCTTTTTTTCCTTTCTTCTTTTTTTTTTTTTTTTTAATGCAGCATACATGCCTGAAGTTAGCCTTCATTTTGACACAGCCATCATTTCCTTAAATGCCTTCCTATAGCTGATAGTCAGTAGGGCCAGGTTGCTCGATTGTATGGTGAATGTTAAAATATTTTTTCATTTTTGTAAGTAAGTTGAAATTAAACTTTTACCAATGAAGTATTTTGATAATTTGTTTGGTTTTTTTTTTCCCTAAGTATGCGAATCGTCTATTGTATTTTTAAGTCTGAAATATGCATCCTATTCCCATAGTGTATTTTATCATTTTTTATTATTATACATAGAAAAAAAAAGTGGCTTTTATGGTGGAAAGAAAAATGCTTAAATCAAAGAAGCTGAGTTATGTATCTAAACACTTCTTAGGCACAAATAGCTCAGCATTTCAAGGTTTCTTGCATAACTTTGCATAAAAACATTTTAAATTCAACTTACTTGATAGTATGGCTGTAATTCAGAAAGCCTTCCTTTTTCTATTAGAAGAATAGATATATTTGATATATTTTTTGGCTATGTGTGAGTCCTTTGGCAGAATTGCTTCTTAGAAATTATTTACAGGTTCATAATAGATTTTTCATTTAATTTGCTTTAGCAGCAGCAAACTAATTATATAGATGTTTGCTATCGAGGAGAGTGCTGTGTTTTAGTGTATTTCTAGAGGAATGAGGAAAAAAAAAAGTTAAAAATGATCGCCAATTGGATGGCAAGTAGACCTAAATTTCCATTGCTGTTCAAAACACATACAGGACAGGCAGTGTTTGTTTATGCAACCTTCCTAATGCTATTTGTTCTTCAATCTTTCTGCCTGACTGCCACATGTAAGAAAATAATTAAAAGAGCTAGACCTGTGGTAATGTTTTCTCTGTTGTAGAATTGCTCAGGTTGGAAAAGACCTTAAAGATAATCAAGTCCAACCATGACCTAACCATACTACCCTAACTCCAAGAACCTTCCGCTAAATCATGTCCCTGAGCACCACATCCAAACAATTTTAAACACACACAGGGATGGTGACTCAACCACCTCCCTGGGGAGCCTATTCCAGTGCTTAACAACCTTTTTTCTAAAGAAGTTTATCCTGATATCCAACCTAAACTTACCCTGCCACAACTTGAGGCTGTTTCTCCTCATCCTGTCACACATCACCAGTGAGAAGAGCCCAAACCCACTCTCACTGCAATCACCTTTCAGGTGTTTGAAGAGAGCAGTAAGATTTCCCCTCAGCCTCCTTTTCCCCAGACTAAACAGCCCCAGTTATTTTAGCCACTTCTCATAGGGCATATTCTCCAAGCCCTTCACAAGCCTTGTTGCCCTTCTTTGGTCCTGCTCCAGCTTTGTGGCTGTGGTAGCTGCCTCAACTTTTTACTCCTCTGACTTCAGAATAAAGAGCTGTCATAGCGGAAGAGCAAAGTCCAAGAAATTGACTTAAAAAAAACCATAGGTGCCTAAATTCTAGTTGTGCTTCATTTTGGTTATCCAAATCCAAAAATAGAAGTGCTCAGCAGTGAGCTTTTCACGCACACTTTTTTAACAAAGAGGAGTCTGGAACATAGTTGTCCCATAGCATAAGCTGAAGTTTCTACAGCTTTTTGACTTGTACTAAACAGAAGGTAAACAGCTGCTCAGTGACCTAAGCTTTTATGAATCCCAGTTTGAAGTCACATGGCATTTCCCAGATATTGTCAAGAACTGCCTATTTTTTTTTAAATTTGGAGTTCTGGATTCCCCTTGTGATCACATACTTTAAATTACATTGAGTTGGACTCTGATCACATTTTCTGTTTCAGCTGTTATTAATCGGGACGCGTGCTTAATGTTTCTCTGATCAATTTTAATTGATAGAGTAGAACCTTTCAGCCTGTGTATGTTTAAATGTTTGGTTTTTTTTTTATCCCCTCCATTTGTACTGCGCTAATTGCTTTTAAAGGTCAGTATAAAGCACAGTGTGTTGACTGAAGGAGGCCATACAATTTTAATACTACTTAGCAGGCTCTTGGAAAAAAGCAGTCTTTAACAATATGCATGTTCTGTGACAGTTATTGGTTTGTAAAGTACAGACATTGAAGAAAATACCAGTGGGCTGGATACTTGTTATAGCTTAATGATATCCTGTGGTTAAATAAAGGCCAAGGCAAACCACCCATGCTTATTTTCAAGTTAGGATAAGTTGACTTTCTGGTAATTTTTTACTTTATGAATTATAAATAATATCTTGTGTCAATATCATTGTTTTCTCATTTCTATAACATCTTGCTTATGGTAACTTATAATTCACATTTGCCATGGAAAGGATTTGTGCACAATTAGCAAGTACATCGTAATGAAGTGTAGTTAAAAACTTGCCTTCTGTGTGAGTTTTGTTCTGCCTTTTTTTTTTTCTTTTTCCTTCAATTAAATCCAGCATTGAACAGCCTCAAAATAACATTGTTTAGGGGAGAAGTGATTTATTTTGTATGAGATACTCTCAGGGTGCCTAGGGACCAGTATTGAATGTGAGCTTAAATCTAAAACTCAGCATTAAAATTTAAGGTTTTCCAAGGAAGATGAGCACTGCAAATATCAGCACTCTGTAATGCAGAAATAAAGTGAAGATTACCTTGAGTATTTTAATTATTTGGATATGGAAAATGGGAAATAAGTTTAGAAATAGCTACTTTTTCTTGTAGTACTCTGATTGTTAGCCACAGAACTGCCCAATCCAGTATCATCTTGTCTCCCCTTTAATTTCAGTGTATCTTTTTTTTTTTCCACAGGATAATAGAATGCATTGTCTACTGTAAAGTATGAGCGTTCCAGCTGTCTTCCAGCTTTTAATGAGGTATCTTTGCAGGGAAGGGAGAACACTTAAAAGAAATGAAACAGGCCATTTCAGTAAAATGACACACTTTGAAATTTTTTTGATGTGTGTGTCTGATGTTTCCAGCAAGCAGAATCTGACCTAGTTAAACTTACTTTGTCAGCTTGGAGTTTTAGAGCAGCATTACCCAGTCTGATTAAAACAGCACCAATGGCATTCTCAGTTTGACTGCAAGCTCCCCTGAATGCTGCCTTACCAGCAGATCCAGTTTGTTCCTTTGTTGCCTAGCATGCTATACTTTATATAACCAAGTAGTAGTTAGTAGTAGTGCTTTGGGATATGCCAAAGTCAGTTGAGAGAACGCGCGTTTGAAAATGAAGCAGCTGCATGTATGCAGTAGAAATAGATAGAACAGATTCCTCTTGACTTGGTGCTCTGGGTCATCCAGTTTTGTACTGAAGGAAAAAAGAACATTGCTTTCCAGTCTTTCAAGGTGCTTAGTTTTATGAGTTGTTGTTGTTTTTAAGTTGGTGTGTTGAATCATGTTTCAGCTTTGGAAGGAGACTTTAGAAACTAGTCCACAGCTATTGTAAACTTACCTTGTATTAGGTCTTTTTCTGCAATGAAAAAGCTCCTTATTTGTTTGATGATGTGAATACGGTTAGGGGAGATCATGTCTCCTACCTAGTGCACTGAGGCAGACAAATCAATATCCTAAATTCTGCTTTGCTATTCCCATTTCTTTTTTTCTGAATGTGCTCTTTTCATGCTGCTAGAATTAGGGGTAGTGTAATGCCTTGGGTGAAGTGTAATGAACGTAAGTTTATTAGCTGATAAAGCTTTTGCTTTTCTTTTGGACAGTCTGAAAAAGTGCAATGGAATGAGATAGTTCTGTTCTGGCTTCCATCTTTTGTCAGTGTAAGGTATGAGTATTCATTATCTAAGCCTTACAAGCTCTGTCAGTGAACAAGTCAAATTAGTGTGTACAAAACCAAGATGGCTGATAGAGCTACTCTTTCAGGAACAAACAATGAAATGCTTTTTACACCTACCTGCAGAGGGAAGTTAAAAATATGTGAGAATTGTGCTTTATTTAAGAATTCCAATCCCCAGACTCTTCTTCCTACTAAGTAAATAATTTAACATTATCAACATGAACAATCTGAACTTAAAAATGCTCTCAGTGGACTCCAGTAGTAAAATAACAATTTTTCAGCAAAAGGTTTTTATAGGCAGCATTAATTATTTCAACAACTAGGTCTTGGAAACTTGAGATCATAGTGATTTCCATTATCACACTGTATACACATCAGATAAGACAAGTGGGATTTACCTGCACTGAGCACAATTCATACAGGAGCTGAAACTTGGTCTCATGTAACCCAGAGAGTGACAGTACAACTGTTTTTACTTTGGTCGTAGTGTGGATGGAGCAACTGGTTTGACTTTCAAGAAAATTATGACAGTCCACTTAAAATTAGTTTTCATGCTCAGTACTTCAGATATACATTATAAGAGACTTGTGTCCAAGTTGTATGCTGCAATGTAAAAATACTGCTTTTTTTTTTTTTTTTTTTAACATAAATGTTTGTTCTTCATTCTCTTCTGCAAAGTAATACTTCATTTGATCAGAAACTGTAGTTAGCTGATCGTATCAGAGCCTTGTGCGGGTTCCAAGCATTCAGTCTGTAGTAAAACTTGCCTGAGTTGTTTTCAGGTAAATGAATACTAAATTCCCTGTTGATCAGGGTAGCCCAGAGTCCCATTTGTTTTAAAATAAATACACGTAAGAAAAAAGGAATCCTATGCTTCGATGGATTTTTCAGATAAGGACCGAAGCAAGTCCTTATAAATAGCAGAGTTCATGAACCGTGGGTAGGAGTCTCTGTGCATTAAGGTATAGATTTGAAGCTGTGCGTCATCGAAGGTGTGTTGTGAGGGTTCCAGCATATTTCGGTTAATCACTTCCCTTACTCTGGAGTCCAAGCTGACCTGCATGTTAAAATAAAGAATCGTGTAAGTAATAGTGGTGTACAGTAGCCAGTTTCTTTGCTTTTTGTTCTGTTGGCTTAAAAATGTATATATTTTTTATTGTTTCAGTTGGTGTCCTTTATGAGTATAAGGACTGTTAATTATGCATATATTTACACCAAGAATGAATGTGTTGAAATTTGGCAATAAAAATGTATTGAATATCAGAGAAAGTTCCTCGTAGAAGCAGTATTACTTGAACAAGGCTGCCTGCAACCCTGTTGCTACTAAAACCTGAAGGACTAGAAGATTATTTCCAGACCGACTTCCTGCTCTGTAGCAGAGAGGATTGGTAATGTTCTGTGACAGCTGATTTCCTTGGGAAGTAGTGCTGTGGTAAAGAGACTGACTTTGGAGTAAGCAGGATGATGCAGATGCAAACTGCAACCTGGAAAGATGATGCTCAATCAAATCCCTATCTTAAAAAGCAGGATGAATTGATGTGGACCACAGGCATAGTTATAGAACAATTCCACATGCATCCAAGTGATGTTTTTTATTTTCTTTTTTTTTCTTGCAAGCACCAGTCTGTGGAAAGGTGTTAGCATTGCTAGAGTGGACTGACTAGATTTAAGCAGTGTTTTAATCTGCATGCACTTGGCACCACAAATAATGAAGTGTACAAATTTTGCAAGAATATAAGAAAGTTTAGAATTCCTGCCTTCTTCTAGAATTATACTCAAATTATGAACCAAGACCTGCTTGAAACTTGGGGCATTTTTTTACCAGCAAAGTGACAGGTAGGTTTGAAAAATTCTCAACTTAGCATTCTTGTTGTGTGCCATATTTTGAGAGCTGCTTTTTGCACAAAGGCAATTTGTGCTGTGCAAATAACACTTCATTTGTGGTTACTGTGCTTTTGGAGACCTGATCTACGTGCACTGCAAAAGAAAACCCCACTGATTCACCCAACAAATAAATTTTAAATTGAGCAAGAATAAAATCTTCATCTCTATGTTGAACTCCATGATCTTTATGGTCCTTCCCAACTCAGCATTCTGTGTTAGTTGTGCCTCAAACTGAAGCCTTCACATCAGCGTGCCAAAGCAGCATAGGAAGAATTTTCTTACAGGTAGTGAAAGTAGTTCTGACCATCTCACCTCAGTGCTGGGTTTGTATTTTACCCCTAAATCTCTACTTCTTAGCAGTGGAATGTGAGGGAAAGAGAGTTATCCCCAGGTATTCTTCTAGCTTTAAACACATCAACCATGCAAAACAGCATCAAAGAATGGGGAAAGCAATATACCTCCTTTGGAGAAAGGATAGAAATATAATCTTCATAAATCAGTCTTGCTTTTTCTTCGATGACGCTTTTGTTGGATTCCTGTTTCAGTTCCTCACAGGCCATCCAGAAAAGCATGTTTTCTTCACTGAATTCTGTTCGTAGAAATTCACGAAAAGCATTTCGACCAGCTGGCGTAAGCATCAACTTGTCAAATGACTGAGCCCAAGCATTCACTTCTTCAAGAGTAGGAGCGGGGCTGTGGAGGTAGGACAAGAGGACAAGAGAGAAATGAACAATTGTTACTCAAACTGTTTTCATCTGGTAGAAGGCGTCTGCCATAATGGAACAAAAATACAAAGTTCATGAACCTCATTTCTCCTCACTGGAACTACCCACGTGCAAACTGCAGTAAACAGGTGCATTTTTGATAAGGTGATTACCTGTATATTGATGCAGAAATTGCACTTTACTGCTCAGAGTAATTGCAGTAGTAAAAGAAACCCTCGGCAATAACTAAGCTTTTTATTATTTGTAATAGTCCTTATTGAATCACTGAGTTACAAAGTGAATGAAAATATGTAAGAAGCGACAATCCAAATACCACAGCAGACACCTTCCAGTCTATGGCAGCTTCACAGGTCCTCCTACCTGCTTGGGCAACTCTTAAGAGACAAATGCCTGATTCTTAAGAGTATCTGAGTTTCCTTTTGTGTTTATTCCTTTTCTAAGGCTGAGCTCTGCCAATTAGCTCCAGTTTATGTATTAACCAAGTGGGGAATATACTAATTTTTTTTTCAGATAAAGGATAGATGATGTTTACAGTCAGGCTACCCAGAGAGGCTGTGGATGCCCCATTCCTGGAGGTGTTCAAGGCCAGGTTGGATGGGGCCCTGGGCATCCTGGTCTAGTATTAAATGGGGAGGTTGGTGGCCCTACCCCCTTGGGGGGGGGGAGAGGGGAGTGGATTGGAGCTTCGTGATCTTTGAGGTTCCTTCCAACCCAAACCATTCTATGATTTTTATGATTCTATGATTTACTATGTGTGTTTCTTTGTTTTTATTTATCAGAAAGCATTGAAAATTGAAATGTGATTACACACTGCATATGAATGGGATGAAAGAATGGGCTGTACATCAGACTCTTGGTTCTTTGAGGAGCAAGAGATGGATGACTTGCAAATTCAGCTTTATGATTATTTGTCATTTGTTTGCATATGTCAGATAATTGATTTTCATTATTTAGTAAGATTTGAATTTTTGTTTCATTTCTTGTTTGATAGAGCGCATGATAAAAGCCATACCTTTCCTCACAGTTCGGAATTCCCTCTGCTTGGAGTTCATGGGACGTTCTCCTTGCTCTCTCTTCTTCCTGGTTTCTAACAGTAAGACTGCAAGGTAGCAAGCAAAAGTTTTGCCAATTTTATGAAAGGAAAGGTTGAATGAAAAAGTGCTAACAGGAGCCATAGTTACACTCTGATGCTAGCTCTTCAGTTGTGTAAGCTTAGCAAACGTTCATGCAGCAGAACTATACAATATCAGGTATGTCCTTGGATAGAAAGCAACCTATATCTGCAACAAAGTCTATATGTACTCCATTGAGGTTTGTTTTACTGCATTGTTTTTTTTTTACCTAAGTTACCCTTGATGCAAGTATTTTATGTCACTTAGACTTGAGTGTTCTCTTTTCTTTGCTGATGATTCTTTTGACGCTGACTTTCAGCATGTCTCCTTTTAGCAAACAGGAATTGAATTCTGAGGTTATTGCATTTCAGTGAGAAATACGTGTGTGCACACAAACTCTTGTGATCTGTAAAGCTGCTAACAGTTTGTCAAAAAAACAAAACAAACAAACAAAAAAAAAAAAAAAACAAAAAACATCCCAGTGACTTACAACCAGTAATTTATATTAAATCTGTACTTCAGCTGAGATAAAGTGGTACAGTTGCTACAACTTCTAGGAAAATACCAAACTCTATTTCTTCACTTGTGTCTTTCTTTCCCTCAATGTAACAGTTTGCTTTAATCTCTAAGAATCTCATTTGTCTCTAGCAAGGCTTTTTGTTAAACCAACCAATTCTTTTTTTTTTTTTTTTTTTTTTTTCCTTCTTCTTCCTTTTAAGCTCTTTGTCTTATTTGCAGCCTTACTATTTACCACTTATTCCTTCTCTTGCTGTCTCCACGGGTGGTCCATCATCTGCAGGGACCTGGTGGGAGGATGGAGAATGGTAATATTTTAAGGCTTGGGAAGAGTGGCTGGAGGTTTGGCAATAGAGGAGAGAAAAACTGAAGAGATAAGGAAGCTTTCCTGTTGTGAGATTTGTGAGCAAGCTCATCACCTATTGCAAGCACATCTTTTCTCTGCAAAAATCCGAACCATACGTTCAAACCAATGAACTACTGGAGTTTGTGTTTTTAGAAAATAAGTGGTTAAAGCCTATTCGTGCTTTTCTATATTATTTTTGTGTCTACATTAAGTATTCTTTTTACCAGTGCTTCTGGCCTTTTTTTAATAAGAGAAGTGGTATGTATTCCTCACACAAGAACTGATGTGCTCGTCAGAGTTGTTTTTAGATTAAGGGGAACAAACATATCCAACAGAAAGGGGAAGAAGACAAATAAGCCCAAAAGAAATTAAGTTTCCTTCAGAGGTCATGCCGTGCCTCACAAGATGCCCTTGCAGGTTAGCTCATTTCCTAGAAACGTATGGGTAAACAGAGCTAAGATTCAAAAAGCATATTTTCAGGTTTCCAAAGAGCAGCGTGCTGGAGGCTTCAGTTTTAGCTGCAGAGTGAACATGGGCTGTGGGAATCTGGCTGAGAGACTCGTTTCACCATTTCATTCTAAATCTACTATTAAGTGTATGCTGGGTATTGGCTGTTCTGCAAATCAGCTGCATGACTCATGCAGACTGTTATTTTTATTCCTATTCATAATTTTTCTGTTCAAAGTACTTGAGCTATTTAGAGGAAAGGCTTTATGAACAGGGAATAAAAATAGCTTAATTATGGTTTGTTTTGCATTTCTTGCTACTAGAAAACAATTGTTCTCAAAGAAATCAAGGATTATTTTAAAGCTAAAATGAGCAACTCTGTTTTGGAACCTGTATTGAATTCTTATTTTATTCTAAAGTGCAAGTAAGAATTTTCAACATCGTGAAATTTGGGTAATATAATTCCATCTATTGAGTAAATTGTTTTCTTTGAATTGTTTGAATAGTGAATTGCAACAGATAATCAGCATCCTCAGGAATATCAGGTAAAAAGTTAAAACAAAACAAAAAAAACAGCTTATCAATAGTTTCCAAGACAATGCAAGTTTTACGTACTCTGACTTGATAGGTAAATGTCTGGGGTTTCATTCTTTATGTACAAATGCATTTGTAAGTGTAATAATGCAGGTCCCAAACGACCCACTTGAGATTTTACTGGACAACTGCTCAAATGGTACTGATGTTTGTACAGTGATGGTTGAGTATAGGCACCATTCTGCAAGGAAGCAAACTCTGATCCTGACCAGCATGGTATTTCTGTCTCAGCGTTACCATAGTTTATCTCTAAGCACCTGCTGCAAGGCTCTGTAGGATAGAGCTAGAGTCCTTGCCATCCTGCAAAAAAAGAAGCCTTTTGTCCTTACCAAATGTTTTCTGTTTCCATCAGGGTGGACAGGGTTGGGTGTGAATAGGCTCTGACAAGCTGCGTACTAATAGCAAAGGAATGATGAGCCTGCTGTTCCCTAACTTATGTTCTCCAAAGCATTTGCTACCAGCTGCTGTTGGGAAAAAGTAATGGTGGAACGGATTTCTTGTCTGGTCAATCAGGTTGTTTTATCACTTCTTTCTTCCACCTCAGTCCTAGGTTTGCTTGCTCAAAGTGTTCATATGGTAGATAGTGTAGTTACAAGAAGCACTCAGCGTGCTGTCAGTGTTTTGGTTTAATTCTTATGACTTAGATTTTTTTTTTTTTTCTTTATTTCAGTGCAAATTCTGGTCTAACCCATTAAATTAGTAACGCACCCCAGACAGGAACAGGACTTTAGAATGTGGCAAGCTTTGCTTGAATTTTAAATGAAATAAACTGCATCTGATATGAGAGTAAAGGTGGACAATTTTTTTTTTTTTTTTTTTTTTTGAGGAATCCAGTGGCTCCTCTTCCTGTCTTGATACCTTCCCTGATAAATTTTCCTCTTCAACAGCTTGTAATAGGAGCTCTTTGAAAATATGTTCTGCTCCACTATTTACTGAAGGTGAGCATTGAACTCTTCAGTGTTTAAAGTCTCTGATCCCAAGAGTTAGCTTGATATGAATTGCAGGTGCCATGAGTTGACACCACTAATTAATGACAACAAATCTGCTCGCCTTTGCAACAAAGAAGCAGTGCCACACACTTGGCTGTTATCTTTCTGACCTACACATCCTTACATGTACTCTTAACTCCCTGTAGCAATCTGTGTTCCTTCTAAGGTGCAATCCTCCATCTAGAACTGTTACACATTATGGTATTGCTTTTGCTTTTTACTGGGAGTCCCAGTGAAGCTCAAATTTGAAGAGAATCAGTATTAGTACATGATATACATTAAGTGTTCGTTTAGTAGGTGATACACCAGTTCAAGGAAAAGGCCAAGAACAACCAGTTCTTAGCTTGCAGGTAACAAAGCCTACTAGGGAAGAAAAATAAAGAAAAAGGAAGTAAAAGGGGTGGGGAGGAGGAGCTAGACAAAACATTTCACTTGAATCACACCTGCAGTTCTGTAGGGATGGGCAAGGCTTGGGCCTATTGCTTCAGCTGTTGAGATGTTCTAAGCTCTGACAATGAGTACTAATTGAGACAACAGAAAGCAGGGGTTTCCCTGAGCTGAGGGCTGCCTGGTACCACGGCTTTCTGTCTAAGGGTAAATGGCTACAGAAATTGAAATAGACTTAGATGCTCACTAACAAGAGTAAGCAGAGGGAGAATGATAAGGATTTCTAAAAGGAGGTATGTAAGAGTTAATGTTCTTGCTGCCTTTTTTTTTTTTTTTTGTTCTGTTTCTAACTTCAGTGGAATGTGTTGCTGGGGCTTCACTAAGAAGGTGATCACGTGTGTGCGCACCTTCAAAGCTTAGAGAAAGGCTAAGGCAACGACTAAAACATCTCTTAAAATGCTTTCCTACTTATCCTTTTCTGAAGGTACTGCATAGAGATTAAATATGCATATAATGTTATTTCAGTGGCAAAAAAATGCACTGCAGCAGAAAGCAGTGTCTCCTAGTTGCAGGCTTGCTGAATGCCCCAGGTGTTTTTTTTGCTTCCTGCTGTCCCACGCGCTGGCTGTTATCTCCCTCCCCTTCTGTGCTGGGTAAGGGTCATACCAGGAGCAGCTGCAGCAGCAGCACCAGCAGAAGCAGCAGGCGTTGGGCCCGCGGTTCCCTACGCTGTGCTGAGTCTGCACCGTGCCTGGGGTCTCCTGGGTTGCTGCCATCTGCCGCTTGCGCATCTCCGTCCGCTCCGATCCCATGGGCTGCAAGAGAGCAGGACAAGGGGAAAGTAAGGCACATCTGGGTTTTATCATTTTAGTTCTGTCACACAAAGCTACCAAAAGCTATTGAAAGCTACAGCTTCAAGCCTGCAAACAAACAATGCGACAATTATTGGTGGAGCCCAAGTTCTGCTGATTGTTTAAAAACAAAACAAAACAAACAAAAAGATGTCAGTGAAATGACAAGCTGTGCTGCAGGCACTGTCCCTTTCTGACCTGTGTGAGCTTCGGCCTTGCTCTGCAGAGCTCAGTATGTGCTCTCTTACTCAGAGGGTTGTGCTGTGTCTTAGTGCCTGATGTGTTTGTAGATGAATTACCAGCTTGTAGAAAAGTGAGTGCAGCTTCACAGAGTCGCAGAGGTTGGAAGGGACGTCTTGTGACCATCTAGCCCGAACCCCTGCTAAAGCAAGTTGCCTATAGCAGGTTACACAGGAAAGCATCCAAATGTGTCTTTGAACACTTCCAGCGAAGGAGGCTGCCAGCCTTTCTGTGCACCTTGTGCCAGTGCTCCAATGCTTCAGTTGGATTGTGTTTGATCCTTGGATACGTAGCAGTCATCCTCCTGTACCAAATGATACCTCTGTGTGTAAGGTTTATTTTCAGGTAGCTAAGCCTTCCAGAGGGACGTGGACAGTCTGGAGAAGTGGACCCATGTAAACCTAATGAGGTTCAACAAGGCCAAGTGCAAAGGTGTTGCACTTGGGCCAGGGCAATCCTGTTTATACAGACTAGGGGAAGAACACCTTGAGAGCAGCCCTGCAGAGAAGGACTTGGGGGTCCTTGTGGACAAGAAGCTGGACATGAGCCAGCAGTGTGCGCTTGCAGCCCAGAAGGCCAACTGTGTTCTGGGCTGCATTAAAAGAATAGTGGCCAGTGGGGAGAGGGAGGTGATTGTCCCCCTCTACTTGGCTCTTGTGAGGCCCCATCTGCAGTACTGCATTCAGGCCTGGGGTCTCCAGTGCAAGAAAGATGTGGAACTCTTGGAATGGGTCTACATGATGGCCACTAAGATGATCTGGAGGCTGGAGCACCTCTCCTGTGAGGAAACATTGAGGGAACTGGGCTTATTTTGCTTGGAGAAGAAAAAGCTCCAGGAGGGGGGCTCACTGTGGCCTTCCAGTACTTGAAGGGAGTGTATAAACGGGAGGGGGAATGGCTGTTTACAAGGGTGGATGGTGATAGGACAAGGGGGAACAGGTTTAAACTGAGACAGGGGAGGTTTAGGTTAGATATTAGGAGGAAGTTTTTCACTCAGAGGGTGGTGACACACTGGAACAGGCTGCCTGGAGAGGTTGTGGATGCTCCAGCCCTGGAGGCATTCAAGGCCAGGCTGGATGTGGCTCTGGGCAGCCTGGTCTGGTGGTTGGTGACCCTGCACACAGCAGGGGGGTAGAAACTCAGTGATCACCATGGTTCTTTTCAACCGAGGCCATTCTATGAAATCTCTCGAGGCCATGATGATTGTAGGGAAACTAAAATTAGTAGTTACAGATTTGGGGTTAGTTTTGTGTTGATAATTTAATACCATATTTGAAATATAATCTGAGAGTCAAAGAGCAGATGGTTAAAAGTTGCCTGTTTAAAATGTTAGGTCAAGTTTAAGAAATGCTGTTCTGAGGTGGAGGAGGAATGCAGAGACGTTGCAGACTGAAGGAGAGTCACAAATAAGTGCATTATTTTAGCAGAGCACAGCACTCAGTTCTGCTGGATTATTATTATTTTTTTTCTGCTCAATTTCTTTTTGTTTTATAGATCTTAAGAGTTTCTATTTTGCTTTTTTTTGTGAGAACCACCCACTCTGACAAAGGAAATACATATGACATGCTGAGCAGAAGATGCACCTGTTTTGCAGGAGGAATGAAGCACAAGAACAGTGCAGACAGAAATGATAGCCCATTTGTAAATCTGTAGGCCTAATCTCAGCAGCAATAACTAAATGCCTGGAAATAGAAAATGAGAAAAAAAAAAACACAGCTTCCAAAAAACCCACAGTATCGCTCATTTCAAAGTGCGGAAGTGTAAATGTGAAATGTAGATCACATCTGGAAATTCAGATTTCATAGTAATAGAATAAAAGACTAAATATTAACTCCTCTGCAGGTACCTCTCCTGTTTTTAAAACAGTCTTTGTGTTTCAATTAGAATGTAAAAACTGTCACACACAGAGGGATTGATAATACATCTAACAGTTTTTCAGGCTTCCTTGGACAGTAAACAGTTATTATTGACAAGAGAAGAGTAACTTGGGGCCAGAGATGTGCTGTTTATGTTACCTAACCTATCCAGGCTTCCTTTTTGAGATGTTTTACATGGGTAGTTCACACATTCATCTCCCTAATAATCCATTCTGTTAACTGACAGTGGTGTGTGGAAAAGCTGGTGCCTGTTGGCTTTTATTCAAGGGAAGAGATAGAGGGTGATGGGTGTAGGAGGAATATGCTCTTTCACTCCACTTCTTCCTGCTATATCTTAACTCAAAAAAAAGTTTTTGGATTCCACTGTTGCCATTTCAGTTTCTTCTTCACAGTTATCCTTTGACATTTTTGATGAAGACGTAGCTGTTCAGTAAAAACTACCTGGTAGCAGTGAGTTCTTTGGTTCATTTGTGAATATTCACCTAGAAGATTTCATAGAATCACAGAATGGTTTGGGTTCGAAGGGACCTCAAAGAACACCCAGTTCCAACCCTTTGCTGTGGGCAGGGCTGCCTCCCATCAGCTCAGCTGCCCAGGGCCCCATCCAACATAGCCTTGAGTGCCTCCAGAGATGGGGCACCCACAGCTTCTCTGGACAGCTGTGCCACTGCCTCACCACTCTAGTTTTCTGGTATTACACACGTTTATGAATGTCCATCTCTTCCCACATATATTATGGAAAAGAAAGGACTGAGCAGAATAAATTCATTTTTTTTCCGTATGAGACGTGATAGAGGTTTGGAGTGGATCACAAACTGAACAGGATGTGACTTTCCCTGCTGTGTTAGCAGGAATACCGTGTTAAGATACAGGAAGTATCCTGTACCCCTCTGTGTGAGTACCTGCGGGTATCATGTGCTGTGTGGGTGCAGCACATTATTACAAGTAGGTGAAACTCCTTTGGCAGATCGTATTAAGAAAAAATCCATCTGCTTGTCCAGGTTCACAGAACAAGCAATGAGCCAATGATCCAGGCAGCACCACTCTCCTAACCTCTGGCTCTAAGCCAACCCACAGGTACATCGTTACCTATTCTGTTTCAGTGGGACTAACTCCCTTTGGTCATGTAAGAATTATTAATGCGCAGAAGAACCAGATGTCTTGTATAAAACATCTACATCTTGTGGTTCCATCTAAGCACAACTGTGAAATACAGCTAAAAATTCATGCTTGCAACATGAAACTGTGATCACACTGAGACCATGTAAGTGCCAAACGTGAGGCCTGAACCCACTGTAAGTTACTAGGCTCTGCTTACTGCCCCGTGGATTCTACTGCTATAGTACATAGTATTAGCAATGTTATCTCTGCAGACTTATCATTCCACGTGATGAGGCTGAAGGGCTTAAGCCACCTGTAATCAAAACAAAAGTGTGACTGCTAAATGCCACGAGAGGGCTTTCCTTATTTTCTAGACCAACACTGCAGGCAATCAGGTTGTTTTAATGCTGAAAAATGGCAATTATCAATGGCATAACAAGCCAATAGCATACTTATAAAGTTGGTAAAGGGAAGTACAGATGTTGATACACATATATTTAGCTAACTATGTTTCCTTCTGAGTCCAGCTGAGAATACGCTTTGCAGACTCGCAGGCAGTGGCACAAGGAAGCAGAGGAAGAGGCACAGGTGCATTGCTCCCCTCCAGCTGCTGCTTTTCACGCATAGCAGAAGAGGTGGCTTACAGCCTGATTAATGATTTGCTTTGCTGTTTTGTTTTAAACTGAAAGAATGATCCATGTTTTCCTAAACCGCAAACGTGATGTTGTGGAGAAATGCTGGGCAGGGAAAGCATTAGCTGTAGAAATCAGCTGGAAGATTTTGGAGCTTGAGGAGCTCTGAGAGATGAAGTGTGTATCAGTGTGTCCAAGGGTAAGGGGTGCCTTGGAGCTATTACTTGGCTGTAGAAGAAGAGGGTACATTGCTGCTGAAAATAAGGTACAGAGCTTCCTCCTACACCTGGTGCATCCAGATCGCCTACATCAGACAGGAGCCTGCTTTTCAGTCAGTATGGCATTGAGGTGGGAAAGAACCAGTGACCAGACTGATAGGTTTATCCTCACAGAGAAATTTTGTAATCTTTATGATGACCAACCTCTCGCAGGTACAAGTCCAGATTACTGGCCTGCTGATTTTGAAAGTCCCTTGGGCAGTCACACTGAGCTGAGCTTTGTTTTTGAAGATCTGGGCAAGGCTGTATCGCTTCTTCAAGGTAAGGGAAGAAAGGTCCGTGAAGAGAGCTCAGGGGGACATTCATCAAACTAGATGGTGAGAGATGTGTTATCCTCAGTATGCCAGCATCCCATCAAACTCAGATGCTCCTTACTCTCGCATGCTTTTTTAATTCCCTGTCACCTAAAATTCCCTTGCTAGGTTGCTGTGCTGCAAGAGAGATCTGTGTTCAAAAGTTTGGTCTGATGGGAAAAAATAACACAATCAGAAATTGCTTCTCTTCCTCTAGATAGTCTTTTTATACCAAAATGGAATTGCCATTGCTGTAAACTCCCTGTGCCGTAAGCCTCCTTTATCTTCTCAGATTTCCAGGCCCCTTAGGAGGTGCTATAAAGCAAGAACAAACTATAGAGGAAGCCTCTGTATTGGATGCTGCTTGATCTTGAGAATCGGGGTCTGTTTCCTCTGTCCCCCACCATATGCAGCAGAAATCTGCCTGGCTTGACATGGATTTCAGAAGAAAACAGTGGGGAAAAAGATTTAACAACTGGTGATGGATTGTTCATATGTGTTCTGAAACAGATCTAAAAATTCATTCAGATTTGTGATGGAATG